AGAGAGAGAGAGAGAGAGAGAGAGAGAGAGAGAGAGAGAGAGAGATACAGTGGTTAATTTTGAGGGAAAAAAGCCAGGAAATAAACTTCAAGTTTCTAAGTGCATATAGATCCAGCCTTATTAACATAAAGTAAAAAACAGTCTAGCTGCTACTCTGCCCATATGTGGAAAATTGGTACTTGCTTCCTTTAGCAGTCTCAAGAATGGGGAATCTACTTTTGGTTGTGAGCCCAGCCTTTAACAGCTGAACTATCTCTCTAGCCCACAGCCAGAAGCTGGAAAGAACACAGATGTCACTCAACAGAGGAATGGATACAGAAAATGTGGTACATTTACACAATGGAGCACTACTCAGCTATTGAAAACAATGAATTCATGAAATTCTTAGGCAAATGGATGAAACTGGAAAATATCATCCTGAGTGAGGTAACCCAATCTCAAAAGAACATACATGGTATGCACTCACTGATAAGTGGATATTAGTCCAAAAGCTTGGAATACCCAAAATACAATTCATAGACCACATGAAACTCAAGAAGAAGGAAGACCAACGTGTGAATGTTTCAGTCCTTCTTAGAAGGGGAAACAAAATACTCACGGGAGGAAATATGGAGACAATGTGCGGAGAAGAAACTAAAGGAAAGGTCATCCAGAGACTGCCCTACCTGGGGATCCATCCCACATATAGACACCAAACCCAGACACTATTGTGGATGCCAAGAAGTGCCTGTTGACAGGAGCCTGATATAGCTGTCTCCTGAGAGGCTCTACCCGAGCCTCACAAATACAGAGGCAGATGCTCGCAGCCAACCATTGGACTGAGCATGGGGTCGCCAATGGAGGAGTTAGGGGAAGGACTGAAGGAGCAGAAGGAGTTTGCAACTCCATAGGAAGAACAACAATATCAACCAACCAGATCCCCCAGAGCTCCTAGGGACTAAACCACCAACCAAAGAGTACACATGGAGGGACCCATGGCTCCAGCTGTGTATGTAGCATAGGATGGCCTTGTCAGGCATCAAAGACATGTCCTGTGAAGGCTCAATGCCCCATATAAGTGGGGCAGGAGTAAGTGGGTAGGCCGGGGAGCATCCTCGTGGAGGCAAAGGGGGGGGGGGGGGGGGGGATGGAGGGTTTTCAGAGGGGAAACCGGGAAAGGGGATAACATTTGAAATGTAAATAAATAAAATAACCAATAAAAAAATTTTAAAAAAAAATAAGGAATCAAAGAACAGGCACAGCTTAGCCAAAGAACCTGGCAAAGCCTAAACTGCAGCGAGACTGGATTAGAACCATGAAAGAATAAAGGACAAAGGTTACAGGATCAAATGATTTATCTACCCAACAGCCTCCTAGAACATGTAAAACATTTCTACTGCTTCCTGCTGACAGAGAGCACAATTTCCAATGAGACAAGGCTGGATGGAGTGTATTAAAATGTTTCAATCAAAGGCAGTCACAAGTTTGTCAGTTAACAGCTCTAGTTCTCTAACAAGAACTATGTGACTGCAGCCCTGGTTTTCAGCTTTTAAAAGGAGCTCAGGAAAGGGTTTGTAAACTTGAAACCCCAAGCCATACTGTAAATGCTGTTGTTTGGTTTTGTATACAAGTAACCAACTTTAATTTTGACATATCCTTCAACTGTAAGCTTGTCATTTTTTGAATAAAGCTTCAAGTTTTCTTTTGTTATTGTTGTTGCTAATAAAGTTTTCAAACATTCAATTTGTTTAAGACCTGCTGAACTGAACCTAGCAGCACTTCAGTGTCCCCGGGAAGCATAGACAACAGCACATGCTTAAAGCTTCCACAGTAACTCATCCTGCCTAGGTGTACAGGAAAGAGTCAGGGGTGGTGAGGCTTCATCTGGAGATCAACCAGGAGCCTTGAGCTATTTTAGTTCTACCACAATGAACTTAGCAAACTCATTACCCAGACCTAAGCATTCTGACTCTCTCCCCAACTCCAGAGGCAATGTTCTAATGACTAGAACATAGTATTTAACTAAAGTCTTAGATCAAATCAAAAAAACAAAAGCTAGGAAAAGCTATTCCCCCCTTCCCCTCTATCCCTTGATCTCTCCCTCTTTTTATTTATTGTTTATTTTTTGAGACAGGGTCATATCCTGTAGCCTAGGCTCACCTGGAACTTAATATACAGTCCATGCTAGCTTCAAACAAACACAATCCTCTTGGCCCCATTTTCTCTGTGCTGGTATTAATGGTGTGAACATGCCCATCTACAATTTCAAATTTATGGGAGATGGGGGTGGGGTGGAAAAAATCCCGTATTTTTCTAACTAGTTCTCATATAGTGAGACATAACTATGACAAACACATTTATTGTGACAGGTAAGGGCAAATTTTTATTAAATATAAAATTAGTAAAAGAATATTTTGAAAACTAGTTACATAACACCCAGAAAGTAAACATCCCAGCAAAATGAATTAATCAAATATTAAAGAAAAAAAGAAAAATTCATCAACTCCTACTTCACACCCACAAATAACTTAAAAAGACTTACTACTTCCAGAGGTGAAGACTCCCAGTGCCTCCGGTTGTCAGGAAGAGCTCCCTGTTTTGAGGCAGGTGCCGGACTTGCCATACGGTGGATTTATGGGCCTAGTCAGACAAAACGCAACGGGTAAGGACTAAACGGAAGCCCTGAAGAGTGGACTCTAAACCAAGAACTGTAACCAGCTTTTCTTCAGCTGCTACTAAAGCACATTTTATTGCTGCTTTAATTTTAGCAGGCAGTTTTGCTGAGGAGTATAGTCTGGGTTGGCAGTGGGCCTGTTGGAGCCTTTCTGACCTGACTCAAAATGTTTTATCAAATTAGCAGGTACTACGGCCTACCTTTGTAAGTGTCCCACACCCTTTTCTTGTGTGTTTTCACTACAGCATGCCATGGGAGCCTCTCTTCACGTCCTGTTTGCTGTTCTTCAGGCTCCTTACACATGCCTGGGCATCGCTTTTCTAGTCTCAGAAAACTGCCTATGATTTCAGTGAAAATGTGCTTTTGGTATAGTATTTTCTTCCTTCTACTCCCAAAATCCTTAATTCCATGACTGGGTTTTTTTAAGGTGTCCCACAGCACCCTCATATTATATATGTGAACCTTAGACTTAAAAGACCCTAAAGACTCTATCAGAAAATTACTAAACTTACTAAATATTTCCAGCGAAGTATCAGGATATAAAATCAACACACAAAATCCAGCATCTTTTTAATTTCTAATAACAGTTTTGCTAAAAAAGCAAAACCAAAAACCTCCAACTGAGTGGTGGTGGTGCATACCTTTAATCCCAGCACCTGGGAGTTAGAGACAGGCTGATCTCTGAGTTTGGGGCCAGCCTAGTTTACAGAGTTCCGGGACACCTAGAATGAAATCCCCTACCATGAAGAATAGCAAGAAATGAATGAAATCCCACAGCATCAACAGCAGGGAAGAGAAGGATGTAACTTCTTATTTCCTGAGCAACTTGTATATTTGAATCTTATGGAAACTAACCTGCAACTGCTTTCCTTTTTATGTTTAGGAAAGAGGGGCACATTCCTTGCCTGTCTCTTGTAAGACAGGATATTTCAATATACATTTTTTATAGCTACTTTATTCAAGTTATCTTCCCTTTTTTTTGACTTATTTTCCCTTTGTTTTTCTTTCCTTACCTATTTTTCGAATCGTACAAACCAAAAATCTTCCCTACTAATGCCATCTCAAGTAGAAGCCAAAGTAAAAGCAAACAGAACATTCTTGAATATCTATCACTTTCTGAGTCAGTGTTTTAAAAGAAGTTCACTTACTACAGCAAATGATAATATAAAATAAAATGGGATAAAATGACATAGTGAAAAAGTTATTTCTGGAAAGTACATTGCTAGTTACTAACAGAAATAATATGTATTTATTAGAAAACACCAGGCTAGAATTTTAGAATTTCCTGATCAAATTCTTGGCATCAGCAAGGTTTTTTTCTTTGTTTTTTTTTTTTGTTTGTTTGTTTTAACAATAAGATTCCAGGCTAACCAAGATAGTTATAATAATCAGGAATTATAAAGCTGGCAACTTTTGGAAAAGTAATCTACACAAAAACACTTAAGATCCTACACGTGGATGACAGAGGAAGCCTGGAGACTCATTCTATATACTATCTAAAACAAACACCACCCCTCTGAATAGAAAGAGAGTCCTTCATGTTTACCTTTTCTGTAACAGAAGCAAAGCCTTTGGTAGGATGCTGTGTTCTCATGTCGAAGACATGGAACTTCCCTTCCAGAGACGTAGCTACTAACTTATTCATACTTATGTCCTTTCTGTCAAACTCCAAGCTGCATACCTAAAAGCAGAGAGCATCCGTTATTGATAGGCTCGAATTCTCTTTACTGTTAAATAATGTGTGTGGGATGATGGGTTTTGCCTGCTTTCATATATGAACATCAGGTGTGCACTTGATGCCCAGGGGGCCAGACGAGGGGATCATATTCCCTGGAACATGGTTCTGAGCCACCATGCATATGCTAGGAATCAAATCCCTGGTCCTCTGAAAGAGCATTCAATGTTCTTAACCACTGAGCTGTCTCTCCAGCCCTTGTTGGCTCTTTAAGTAATCTGAATGGGAGAAGAGCATGGAGAACTGCTTGAATAATTACTAAAGCTTTTAAACTAATTTGATCAACAGAACCCTGTTGGGTGACCATGCACAGTAGAAGGTCACAACTCAATGTTTTCATTATTTAGTACTGCCTTCAGAAATCAGGAAGGAACAAAATTCCTTAACAAACCTCATGAACCAAAAGTCCAAAGGTATTTGGTGAAGATTTTCGTACTCCAGCAAGAAAAAGGCCTCTTACTTACTCAATTTGATATCATCTGTGTGGTCCTCGGATGGACTGGAGCTCCTTGAACACTGTACAAACCACATCTGAATCCATGTTCACTTTCTTATACTTTGGTTGTAACCTTAGCCTTTAACGATTGAGCCATCCCTCCAGCCTATGAGTTTACTTTTTTAAGGAAGGATGCATGGCCACCATTAGATTCACGGTTTGGCCCTAAACAGTTAACTTTTGGTAGAAGACTGAAAGGCGTGGGTTAAGAAGGGATCTGAGACCTTTGTTGTGCGTGGAGGTGGAGAGCAGGTACAAACATGGTCAGTGGAGTTGGGAGAGGACAGAAATGCACATTACCCCATTTTTAATGTTTGTCTCCCACCGCAGTGACATGTTTCTGAGATCAAACAGCTTGATGTCCCCATTGTCATAGCCAGCACAGACAACACGTTCTTCTTGATTATAAGCATTGCCTGAAAATCAAGATACATTTCAGGTCTTCATAAACCCAAGGTAAAGGCTGCTAGGAAAAATAATCTAATTTTAAAAAATTATACTGGGGATAACCCCAGCCATCAGTCCTAACAGGAGATGAGGAGTACTAACTTTTTTATTTTGTTTTTTTAAATGCTTACTAGAAACTCTATGACAAAAGTCTACTTGAAAGTATTTACTGGATTCTAAACAGAAAGGAAATGTTCTCTCAGCCTCAGATATGGCTTAGGGCTTCTTTGGCAAGTACGAGACTCTATAATCCACTATAATACCTGCAAAGACAGACCATCTACAATTCACATTTAGTAGGGCCCAGGAAGATAAATATACTGTGATATTAGCTGTTAGTCGGACTTCTAGTGCTATAGGTTGAATAAGTAGACTGGTTGTTTCAATAATAGTTAATATAGGAGTTAGGGAAATAGGAGTCCCTTGTGGAAGGAAATGGGCTAGTGAGTTTTTAATTTATGTCAAAACCCTAGAATTACAACTCCGGCTCATAACGGAATGGCTATGCTTAAATTTATATATAATTGGGTGGTAGGGGTAAATGTGTGTGGTAGAAGTCCTAGCAAGTTTGTAGATCCAATAAATATAATTAAGGACACAATTATTAAAGCTCAGGTCTGTCCTTTCGGTGTGTGGATTAGCATTATTTGTTTAATAATAAGTTTAATTAGTCAATGTCGGAATGAATGGAGATGGTTGTTAAGCGTTCTGATGATGGAAACAGAATTGATGGAAATATAATAATATATTATTCTTTGGTAATGACAATATATGAATGCAAATACATTTTAAAATTATTTTGCAGAATATTTTTCTGGTTATTATTCTACCTCTGTAATGAGTTGGAATGCATTTTTAGTGGTGTAGGTAGCTATACCTGAAGTTTAGAATGTAATGTTAACTTCAGCATGCTTAGGTCCAGGATGATTTTCCTGCATAGCTCTTACTGAATGAGAAATATGAGGGAAGAAGAAGGTCCTATCAGTGTGTGACATTACCTGGGATACCTGACTCCAATGTCTTCATTCTCAACTGCCTCCAGCTTCCTCCTCATCAATTCCAGGCTTGCATTTCTACTGTGAGCTCTTGCTGGTACCAGTATCTTGCCCTTCTAGGTCCCAAGCTGACCTCAGCTTAACAATGCCCCACTGCTTGTGGAAATTTTTAGTGAACAACATCTTTCCCTCCATGATCAATCTCATGATCATCTTGGGCAGAATTCTTTACTTTGTTCTCCATTTGATGTATACAAAATTACAAATACTATTTATTCTGTATCTGCCTTATGAATCATTTTCATTGCCTAGAACCTCGACTAAAACTTCTCAACTCATCACAATTATGCCTTCCTCACCCCCACTACTGAGCACCAATAACATCCTGACAGCACAGGCTGTCCAAGGTAGACCACTCCCTCCAGGCACCACAAACAACTGTGGCTAGAGTCAGCTCTGTGGCCAGTCGCTCCACCATCTCCCTCGAGGGCACTCTGAAGTTATTCCCTATGTTGCAAAGTTTTCCCAATCTCAGAGACAGAAATCCTCGGAATCCTTGTTCTGAGATCAAAGCGATCTTCCTCCCCTCTGTGTCTCCCTGCATGACAGATGCTTCTTGCCATGTTTTATTACTTATGTTTTATACTGTAAGTAAAGCAGATGTCAGCCTTTCTTCACTAAACCATGTGCTTCAGGACTCCATGAGGACTCAGGTTCACTGCTGCATGTTCACAGTATAGTAACTAAAAAAAAAAATCCAAAGTCGGGCATGGAGGAGCACATCTGCAGTTCCAGTGCCTCAGAAGGCTGAAGCCGGAGGATTACTTGAACTTAGGAGTTTGAGGCCAGCCTGAGCACATAGTGAGATCTTGTTTCAAAACAATAAAACAAAACAAAACAAACAAACAAATCACAAAAGCCAGGTGTGGTGCACATGCCATAATCCCAGCACTTGAAAGGCAGAGGCAGGAAGATCTCTGCCAGTTTGAGGCCAGCCTTATCAAAGAGAAAACACAGGTTTGAAACTAAATAAGGAGTTACATCTAGCAGTCCATGCCTGTACTTGTAGCTACTTGGGGAGGTGTGGCTAGCCTGGGCTCTGGTCTGCATCTTTTACAGTCAAAGATAAGCAGTAACACTGACAAGATCAGTATGCATTGTAAGTATATTAATACAGGGTCACAATGATCAGATTTGTAAGAAAGAATTATGTAATGGTACAACCACTTTCTAGAGAATAAACACTATGTAAAATGTCTAGAGAATAAACACTATGTAAAATGCAATGAGAGATTTTTGTTACATTTGCATTTCAGGCTTCACTGAGCCCTATTAGTGATTAGTGGCATTTGGTACTATACTAGGTCAATATTATTAATTAAACAAAAACTATTATAATAATAGTAAATATTTTCAACACTCAATACTTTATGCTCATTCTAAGAGCTTTAGTGACATCACTTCATTGGCTCCTCAACACTATTAAGCAAATGCTATTAGCAACCCTGTGCATACAATAACTTCCCCAAGCTACCCAATAAATAGCACAGTGAAGACGCAAACCCTAGCCTGAGACTGACATTAAGACTATGATAGCTGCCTGGACAAATCTCAGACTAATCTACAGAACAGGCTACCAGAGACTACCTGTAATTTCCTGAACCATGATGACCCTGAAACGCAGTATCTTGTTGGTAACTTACCAAATGCCACCGTCCAGCAGTCTCTCTTGTTTTCTCCTTGTGCAGGTTCCATATTAGCGACAGGATCCCCTTTTTGCCTTGGGTCCCACACCTTTACAGTTCCTGTCATGGATAAAAAGGAGTTGGCAAAATTCATAGTAACTGATCGAACTTCCTGTTTACATTGCATTTACACAGTTATCTGTACACTCGACAATAACTGTTACAACAGCTGAAAACTATTCATGTTTTTCTGACTTCAAAGTGGTTAAGTTGTACTTGATACCAGACATAACTCCATGTTAGTATTACAAATGATTTCTAAATTAATAGGTATACAGAGAAAATCCAAAAAGTATCCCTAGGCTATCTGTAAGTCATGATTGACATGTCAAAGACAAGTGCACAATTCAAAATATGCCTTATTGTCTGGGTTAGCATCAAATACATACAAACACATTTAGAATAGTGGGGGTATCAATTTAACTTTGTTTTTCTTACTACACATATAATTCTTGGTTCTTTTCTCATACAGAAGAATAAGTATTGTCACTCCATTTTTATATGGGGTTTTAAAATGTCATTTCAACTGCTCGGGAGGCAGCTCCTGGCAGTGATCAGCATGAATGAGATCCAGTTTCACTTGTTGACACAGAAGAAGAAACAACCCCACCTGTTTTACATATAATTAAACTTAACTTTCCCACATAAGTTAATGAGGAGGGAATATTAATAAAATTAGCTTAAATTAACATTCAACCCTCTTATATCAACTCATATTACAGGATTACTACCTAGTGTGTAGTTAGTAAGCTAGTTAGTAACTAGTGTCACAGCCTACAATCAACATGATTGCATGTAATGAGATGGCTAAAAGGCTTACATCTGAGCAAGAACAGGGAAGGGAAAAAATATCCTTGAAAGATACCAGGGATAGAGCTGGTCATCAGAAAGGCAGGCTACAGTCCTATGTGGAGGGGATTCCCACAAATCTGATAGAGATTACTATCTCAGCTACAGGTTTATACAAGTCATTAAGATCTTAGTAAGTTTTCCATACTTTAATTAGCAAAGAACATAAAGACAATTCAATACACAGGCACTGACACTAGTGTAAGTGGAAATAGAGGACAGTCTCTAATCTACAAACTTCCAGGAGGAAAAAAACAATGCCAGCCTCTTGTAGTCCCTCATCCACCAGCTGGCCAGGGAAATGGGTACTATGGGTTAGTTAGAAACACATTTTGTAAATCATAAAATATTCCCCAAGGAGTTACATGCATAACTACAATCACTTCTTTAACACTTCAAGTCACTGTCCTAAGAATACCCAGAAAACTTGGAGCACGCTGAATGGTTACTACAGAAGCATAGTTAAGTATGCTGTTATAGCCACACGATGGAATGTTGCAGCCAGTAAAATAAAGAGTTATGGAAGCAGAAGCATCAGCATCTGACGAACTATAAAGTACGATGGATAAGCACAATGGCAGTGGCAGCATAATAAACTGCTCGCCATCTTTCCTTGTGTTCCATGTGGCTCCCATAAAAAGTAATTCTAATACACCTCTGCTCTCCAGAAAGAAAATGATTTCTCATTTTTCTTTTACAGTAACCTTTTGAAAGCAACTAATGCATTTCTATGGGAGACAATAAAACCACAATGGGCTCATGTAGTCATTCAGGCCGGGTCTGTTGGTCACTGAGGCCAGTGATGTGGAGCTCATGGATACATCCCAGAACATGTCTCCAGGTACCTGTCAACCTGACATTCTGCTAAGTAGTAACTCTGCTTTTTAGAAAGAGGAAGCTGCCACACATATCACATCACTGGCTGCTTCAGAAACCTGTGAAGACTTGTAAGTACTTCAAAGGCAGCTCATTGTTAGTTCTTGAAGTAAGTCCACACTAAAATATTCAGTGCTGGGTCTCTATCTGAAAATACACAGAAGCCTGAAATGAATGAGGGATGCACAATAAAACCTGTCTGTTACAACGCAGATGCACAAATGGTAGATGCAGAGTCAGTCCAACAAGAGTATTCCATGTGCGGAGGACATGGCAGCGCACAGAAGTTCCCATTAAACGTTTGTTCAGTATTTAAAGCTGACTCACCATCTCGGCTGCCCGTCACAATTTCAGGGGCTCCTTCCCCAATTCCAAGTCCACCTATACCATCTATGGTATTTATGATTTCTTTGTGGCCCTTTACAGAATACACTGGCGTCTCTGGAGCTTCCAAATTCCTAAGCAAAAAACATAACTACTTATCACATGGCCTTAAAACCAATTAAAATAAAATAAATAAAAACAAAACAATTCAAAATGGATGGAAGACTTTAACCTAAGACAAAGACTCTGAAAATGCTAGAGGAAAACACAAGGAAAATCCCGGGTGACAGAACCACAAGTGGAAAGTCTCGGAAACAGACGCAACAGCACAGGAAATGGACCCATCAAGACATGAGTGGGTAAGGTTATACACAATGACACGTTAGTCAGCCATGACGAAACGAATTCATGGTATTTGTAAGAAAGCGGACAGAAGTGGGAGTTGTTAGGTTAAGCCAATAAGCCAGAGTCGGGAAAACAAAGACCATGTTTTCTCTTATGCATGGAAAATAAATTTAAAATTATACACACATACACATAAAATTATACACACACACACACACACATATATGCATACATGTGTGTATGTAGTTCATAAAGGCTGAAAGGTTGGCCAGGGAAATAAAGGCACTAACTAGCAAGCATGAGCCTGCACTGACTCTCAGATCATACAAAGTGTGAAGTGAAAACAGAGTCCCAGAAGTCATCTTCTGCTCTCCACTCGTTCATGTCCATGTACACACACAGAAACAGATACGGACACACACAGACAGAGGGACGTGTGCTCTCTAGTTGTGTATGTACATGGTACACAGACAGACACATACACACAGAGGG